CCTGGTCTGGTACTGCTCCTCTTTGGGGCCTTTCTCAGCAACCCATAGAGATAAGAGAAGGGGGCTTCCAGGACTGAACACTGAGGGTAAGAGGACTAACCTCTGGTACATGTTGCAACAACCACTGACCACCAAAGAGCATCTGGGTATTGTAGATGTTTAACCACCTACCTTACAATGATGTTTGAAGTAGAACCTGTGCAAGGAGGGAGGCTTTGTCCCCTGAATCTGATGGCTAAGTCATCTGGTGTTGCAGCTGACCTGGAAATTACTCCAGTGCTCTTCAGACCTGAGTTACAGCTGGCATGAGGAAATCTAAGAAACAGGTGGTTCCAGTAACAGCTGTACTTTGAGTTAGGGCTGGCAGGAAAGAACATTGCATGCTTGTTGAACTTTCATGCACTGTCTAGGATCTATAGAAGTTCCCTGACCTTTTGCCATAATAATTTCCATATCAGGGCAAAGAATGATATTTCTCTCCCTTGAGATTTTCCCTGAAGATCCAACAGCCTAAGGTTTTTGAGTATCCTAAAGTGATAGATAGGCAAGAAGACTATGGTTGTTAGCTAGGAGAGTAACAGAACCAATCTTTCACATAGTTTCCGATTCTAGAAATGAACTCATCAAAGTCCTCTTGGGGAAGGAGGTCTGTGTTTACCCTTATTTGGAGAGCTGTATTTATTATGCTAATTAGATAACCATTGTTTTCATTAAGTGAATTATCATGTATGCCAAATGAACTATAAGTCATTTTTTGCTCCATATAGTGGAAAAAAATTTTAATAAGAATTTTTTCAGAATAGAACACTGTGGCTAATATAATTCATACAGTTCAGAGGTGTAAGAAAACACCCATCTCGCAGACCTAATCACCGCCTTCGATAGCAGCACCTGCGCAGTGAGGCACCTCCTACTTTCGGCCCCAAAGATATAAAAGGGGCCTCCAAGGAGCCAGAAGGTGCCATTTGTGCCCTTTCCTGGTGAGAACTTGGCCTTGTCAGTTCTGCTGGCAGTAAATCTTCTACTTGACATCTGTCTGTGTGGTCTTTTGGATTATTTTCTTTGGGGTTACTTTCTTCCTAGGTTACATTTTTTTTCCTTCAAGAGGGAAGGGAAAATTTTAAGATGTGGTTTTCTTTCATTGTTTTTAGAAGTAATGAAACCAAAGTAGATAAGGTACAGAGAAAATATATTTTTCTCTAAGTCACTCAGGAATCAAACTATGAAACCAAAGGAGGACTCTTGAGATAATATTCCCAGTCTTATTGTCTGTTCCAGGTCTCTCATATGTGTAGAAGTTATTTATTGCACAAGGCTGTTCAGCTGGGGCTGAATAAGGAAAGGAATGTAGCCTGGGCTCTGTTATCATTGGATTATGGCTAGGGGCTGTACTCAATTGAGATGGGACTCTTTAAATTCACATAAATATGTTGAAAGTTTGCTCGCCAAGCATAAGCATCTGTGTTGTTAGTATTTAAATAAACAAGCTGTAAGGGAAGTATATTACCCACATTGTAGAAGACATTCTCCTAGTAAAAGAACCTGTTTTGATATAATCTTAAAGAATGTCTGTTTAAATAGATATATAGTAAAAGAGATAAGTGTTGCTCATCCTTTGAAAAGACCTATACTGATCTGGCCCTGATGTCACCATACCAGTCACGCAGGAAAGAGTGAACTTGGTAGGAACTAGAGACTTGGAATATCTTACCAATTCTCCTCTGTATATTAATTCCTTTCTACCTTCCTTTCTCCTCTTTACCTACTTTCCCACAAATGCTGAGATGCCAGCTCCAGAATTTCCTTTTCTCAAATAGAAAAATTAAGAACAAAACCCACTCACCTGATCTACCTTATATTTACTAAAAACAAACTTATTCTAGAAGAAAGCACCATAGGTAACCAAATTCATACTAGCATAAAAATTGGAAAAATTAAGTGTCTTCTTTGCCAGAAGCAACATTTTAATATGTAAATAGCAGGTAGACTGTGTAGTCCTCATGGATTCTTAGGTGGTTGTAATAGTGGCAGTGATTTAGTGATTTTTTGGTGTGTGTGTCTAAGGCAGGAGTTTCCTTTGTGCCTGATAACACGCTGTTGCTGAGGGCCCACCATTCAGGGGCACTCAGTCTTCTCATTTTATTTTGTCTCTGTGTCCTGTTGCCTTTGTCTTACCATTTCAGTCCCTGTCACTTCAGCGTTCTTTTAGGATGATCCATCTCTTTCATTTTGAACTTAAATTTTTTTATTCTTGACTCTGAGCACTTGTTTTTATCCAAACTTTTCCTAATTTCCAGACAATTTCATCCCTTAACTCTAAGTGTCTCATCTCCAAATGCTACCTGCTTGAAAGTATCAGATTCTGCTTCTGATCGGAAGCTTTGGTTATTAGGGGAAGTTGAAATTCAGAACGTCCCCATTGCTTCTTTGTCCTGAAGCTGACCCCATAAACCATACATAAGAAAGGGGAATTTATTCAGTTTTTGCTACAAGTGTTTAGAAAACTCTCCCTGTTTTTCTTTCTCTGCTAATCTAATGAAGCATAATTTATATTTTCTCCCTTTAAAAAATGATTATAATAATGATTGAAACAAAAAGTGTTTCTAACGCATTTATAAGATTATCTCTTTGTTGCTTTGTATGTCCCTCCCCCACAGTATAACCCCTGCTTTCACTATATTTGATGTCAGTATAACTTGTGGAGGAGATGGGGAAAAACCAGTTGTTTAAGGATACAGGTGGACCTGTTGCAACAATGAGAAGTACAAGTTGTCATGTCCAAAACGAGCTTTACAACGTCGGTGGGGGGGGGGAAGGGGGGGGGAAGGAGAAGGATTGGGATTGGGGGGGAGGGGGGAGGCTGGGAAGGGATGTGAAGGGTAAACAAAGGAGGAGGCTGCAATGCTTGGTAAGAAATGTACGCATTATCCTGCCCATGTAATTGTAACCCCTCTGTACAGTATGTTCACAAATAAAATAAAAATAAAAAAAAGTGGGGGAAGCTGCTGAGGATGTGGCTGCAGAACTCTGAGTTCATAATCCAGCACCACCAAAAAAATGAAAAAGTGATTATACTAGTTGCTAGAAACTGGGACTTTACTGTTTAAAATTATTCCTCTGTAATTCATATAACCTTTCTGGGCTACATTATTCCACTGAAGATAAAGTAGCTAGTTAATTCCATAAAAGGTAGTATGTCCATATGAAATGTGGTCAAGGAAGTCAAAATAGCTGAAGTGAAGCTTATAAATAGAAATGGATCGTCTCTTCATGTGATTCCTTCAAGAATTTTCTTAATCTTCAGCTCCTTCCATCAGTCAGATAATACATTTAGAGGGTTTTGTTTGTTTAGTTGTGCCATTTCTGGGGCTTGAACTCAAGGCTAGAGCTCTAGCACTTGAGCCAGAGGTCCATTTCTGGCTTTCTTTTTTTATTGGGAGGGGTAGGTTAATTGGAGATAACTGTCACAAACTTTCCTGCCTGGGCTGGCTTCAAACTATGATCTTCAGATCTCAGTCTTTTGAGTAGCTAGGCTTAACAGGTATGAGCCATCAGCAATTGCGTACAGCAATACATGGTGTTTTGGGGGTTTTTTAATGCCAAGAATCTAGGGCCATGCTATATTTTATCCAAAAGATGAAGTTCTGTGTGTTTATTCTTGGTGTGTTGTGATTAAATCAAGTGTAAGACAATAGATGACATTTCCAAATGATAGGAAACATCTTCAATCTGTTTAAGAATGCTGAATACATGATATTGTACTTTGTTCCTCCTACTCCATTGAATTTTTATTTTGGAAATCAGAATGGTGATAAGTGGTTCTGGGGCCCTGCCTGAAACTGTCATTTTTGTTCTGCAGTTTGTTGTATTTGCCGCATTACCTTGAAGAGAACCAATGTCAATGTCCTAGCACTTTACCCTGCTCTCATGCTACTTGCTGTTCTTGTGTACTCGTACCTCTCTAGCTCTTCCTATTGTACCCCTCTAGCTCCCTTATCCCTCTCTGGTTCTATGCATTTGGATCCTTTCTTAAAGATGAAGTAGTTTCCCAACTATGATGAGTGCTTCACATCATCTGTTTTTCCTCTATTCTAGGCTTAACTTGAGACAGCCCTAATCAAAAGTAGCAAAGTTTTTGTCTGCTCCCTCCCCTTTTCCAAGCCTGATTGTGCAAAGAAGGTGTATGCTGATTTAATAAATTGTTAACTAGTATTTTTATAATTTGAAGAAAGGATAACAGTCATCCTTCAGGACTCTGAAGGAATGGTCTAAGATTTCAACATCATTTTCTTTGGTGGAGAGGTTGGTTGGAAAGAGGGCATCTGCTGACCTGGCTGCCTGGAGTGCCAGGGGTTTTGAAAAGGGGAAGTCTGGAGATGTACCACACCCTATTCAATGAAAGGGTCAGAGTCAGATAACCTCTATTGGGCACATGTCCATTTGTATTGTAACCTGATTTCTAAACTGGTTACAAAATAGCTTTCCATTTTGGTACAATTTGATTGAGTAGTCATAGTTACAGAACTTTGCCTTATATTCTATGTTATGAAAAAAAGAAAACGTTATCCCAATTTTTAAGAAAGTGTTTTTTAAAAGTGTGATGTTCTAGAGCTATCCTTTAAGAAAATTACAGTTAATGTAAGTTTATGCTATTGTTGCTGTGATTAAATACTTCTCTTTATGTAGTTGCTATGCTACAAGACCCATTAACACCTCACCCTCCTATTCCCACCTCCCACCTCATTCCTAAATAGCTGTATTTCAGATAGTTGGTACACCAAGCTATAAATTGATATCCAACGTGGGTAAAGCTAATAAATGTGATTTAAGATGAAAGGCACTGCATAAATGCTCAAGATGTCGTTACTACTGCTCTCATACATTTTATTATTTTTAAATTGTGCATCCTTTTAAATAGATTATTTGTTCACCACAGTCTCCATTATATCTAAGCAAAGCATTCACAGAAATTTCTAAAACCTTTTCATCTCTCTCTGTAGGTTGTTGTTTCGTAACATTTTATACAAGAAAAGCTGCACTTGAGGCCCAGAATGCGCTGCACAATATTAAAACTTTACCTGGGGTGAGTCGGTTTACTTTTGTACCAAAATCACTTTATTGCTTGAAAATGGTTCTTTCAACTGAAGGTTCTAGTTATGGGTTCTTAGTGCCAAAAATGACTTTGGTCTTTTCAGGAGTGTATGCTGACCCTTGCTGCCTGTGGTAGCCAGACCTGCTGGCCAGCCCATAAAGAAATGCTGGCATTAACGCTGACGGGAAGAGCTCTCAAATAGCATATTCCCCTGGTTAGAAAATCAGAGGGACCCTACTGAGTACAGTGGCTGCCAAAGGGTATTGGGTGGGCTAAGATTTTAAAAGGAGAGGGGGGAAGCCCAACAAATGGAAAAGGAAAAGCTTTTACTCACCAGGAGCCCCTTTTCAAATGTAGTCTTTAGATTTTCTTTCAAAGGACAAAATGTACCCTGTACAGCCATAATATTAAGCCTCCTAATGATTTCTAAACAGTCAATGATGGTTAACAAAGTCAATGTTTTAATGCCCAATTTGTGGCTTCCTGTTGATATAGAACAGAAAATACAAAGCTTACAGTATTATTTTCCTTTTGCTTCCCAGTAATATTTGATGATTAGAACAATTTACTAGAAACAAATAGTTGCATATAGCAGCTTTATCAAAATACATTATTTTTAAGGGATTTTTGGTACTTTTTTTATGTTAGTGTAAGTTTCTTTATTCTGTTAAGATTTTTTCCATTTCCCAAATAATCAGTGATGAGTTAATTAATTCAGTATCATAATGATAGACATTGGTTATTATGATTGATGTGTGGCAAGCAGCATAAATATAGTGAAACCTGATTTGATAAAAAAAATAAAAGATCAAATGTTTATTATGTTTCAATTAATAATTTCTCTATCTGTGAAGTACACACATGTGTATGCACATGTGAATGCATGCACACATGAACATAGATAATTCCCCTAAAATATAATGTTGTGTAATTTACCCACTAAAAACTTTATAATATTTGTAGTACTAAGATGCTCAATAGAAGCTTTTAAGAATATTAGCTTCTTAATCACCCAATGGTAATAAGGTATGAACCTGGGTTTTCAGACATACCACTTTGGCTTTCACCTTTCTTTTTTTTGGGGGGGGGGAGGCGGCGCGCGGTCGTAGGGCCTGAACTCTAGGCCTGGGCGCTGTCCCTCAGCTCTTCAGCTCAAGGCTAGCACTCTACCACTTGAGCCACAGAGCCACTTTGGGTTTTTTTTTCTGTTTATGTGGTGCTGAGGAATCGAACCCAGGGCCTCATGCATGCAAGGCAAGCGCTCTACCACTGAGACACCTTCCCAGCCCCTGGCTTTCACCTTTCATGTGAGAAAATCAAAGAATAGGAAAATATGTAACTCCAGTTTAACTGCTTAAAGACTTACAGGGTGGTTTTTAGTAAGGCTGTCTTCATTAAGTCTTAAGTGTTTTGCTTAGTGGTTTAAAAAAAGTAGTAGTAGCTTCATTTTGCATGTAAATGGAGTTTTTCCAATGTAACTTTAGGAGGTTACAGTGTAGGTTATATTATTGATTGAGACAACAAAAGCAAATATTTACTAGCTCTGCCAACAACAAAATAAAATAGTTTGTATTTTCCCGGCACCTGATCAGAGAGAAGACCACTTTGTGTTCTTTCTCTTAAAGACACTTTACAATAATAAATATATAAAATCCCTTCCAGGTAATAATTGTCATTTGTCATTTAGGTATAAGATTTGATAACAATTAGTGTCATATTTTAGCTGAATGTAAATTTTGGCTAATTTGGATGAATCCTCTCTACAAGAAACACAGCTCCCAACTTACTATCTTCCCATGTGAAAGAATTCTCCAAAAGCCAGTTAGAATGAGTAAGACATGCTGAAGCATAGAAGTGCTGATGAGTATTCTTCTGTTTGGGATATCTTTTGTGTTGTTTTGGTGGTGTTTTTTCCCAATGTTAGGCCTTGAATTCAATTTGTATTTGTTTGACAGGCAGTCTCTCATTTAAGCCATACCTTCAGCCCTTTTGGCTATAGTTACTCTTCAGGTAAGGTCCTACTTTTCTTTCCCAGGCTGGCCTAGACTGACTCATCCTAATTTATGCTTCCTCTATAGCTGGAACAACAAAGTACATCCCACTGTGCCCAGCTCTTTTTCTTGGAGATGAGGTCTTTTTTCCAGGTCTCTCCTTGAACCGTGATCCTTCCAATCTTCTTGTTAATAGCTATGATTATTAGAGTGAGCCATCATCCACAGCCTATTTGGTTTCTTATTCTGATTTTTTTCTTAGTAAATAAATAAAACTTGTATTTGGGGGGAAATTCCACTTTTTTTACCTTTCCCTAAAGAGTCTTCATGTGGAATTTACAAGTGATAACTTTGGAGACCAAGTATGAAGGACAGTAATTTTAAAATTGGTAAAGATGACTATTGAATTTTTTCACCCAACTTAACTTCATATTCTTAATTTTATTTTTTTTGGGGGGTCCGGTCATGGGGCCTGAACTCTGGGCCTGGGCGCTGTCCCTCAGCTCTTCAGCTCAAGGCTAGCACTCTACCACTTGAGCCACAGCACCACTTCCGGCTTTTTTTTTTGCATATGTGGTGCTGGGGAATCGAACCCAGGGCCTCAGGCATGCAAGGCAAGCACTCTACCACTTAGCCACCTTCCCAGCCCCATATTCTTAATTATTTAAAGCAGGTTAGACAAAAATTTGAAAGCAGGCCTTAGTAGTAAGATTCATAGCCTTTACAATGTACACATTTGCTAAATTTACTACTTCAAGTGGTAAGTGGGAAAGAGTTGTGTGCAACTTTATATAAACATCACCCTTAACAGCTGCAGGGAAACCATGAAAGTGATTGTCTTTGAGCTGTGAGCCTTTGGTGGACAAGAAGAAATGGAACCAGACATAAAAGATTAATGCATATTCTTAGGGAAAAAATATTACAGGGTGCCTGGCTGTTTGATTACAAGCCTTGGAATTAGTCAACATTTCCATAATTCTAAACCAATATACACCTGTTTCCCCACTGTGATGTGAAGGCACAACTTAATTTAACAGAAACCCTGCTGTGCTAAATCTCTCATTAAATACCAAGTGCATTCGGTAATTTAAAGTTGTAGCACTATTATTTCAACTGGTTGTCTTCATATTATGAAATTAATAAGAAATTAATGATGCACTTTGCCATATGCCTTCAATTTCTTTCTGAATAAAAATAAAAAGGATAAAGAAAAATACATCACCAGCTGACACTTTAAAGCTTTTATGGTTGTAATCATTTTCCTGCGGGTAAAATCCATTAAAAAGGCACTTGCTGTCTTAAAAGTGTCCAAAACTTTCAATGTATAACAAGATCAAATAGTGTTGGGGGTTTTTTTCTTGTGTAGTTTTCTTGTGTAGTTTTGCACCAACTTTTTTAAAGAAACTTTTATTACGTAACTAAACTGGATTAATGTTTAGGGGGGTTTTCTTCCCGTGTTTTCACCATCTTTCTGTCTTTAGGAAAACAAAACATGGTTAATAAAGAAGGAGAAAATAAGCTGATAAGACTGTCCCATACAATTGAACATGTCTGTTCTTTGACATATTCTTTGAAGGGTCATTTGAAGGACTCTTCTTTTCATGTCTTGCATATATTTTACAGACATTAGACTCTCCTCATGAAGTAGGAGAAAGTTCAGGACTTCACTACACAGTACAGAGAATTGAAGCTATATTTCTCAGGCTGTTTTTCACTGTGTAACTGAGAAAGATACAAACTCTGCTCTCTTCAGACATCTTCCACATAAATCCTAGAAATACAGAGAGACCAGCCACGGGAACAAATTTGGCATCTCCACATTGACAGCAAAGCATGAAATCAAGGAGTCTCTTTCCTTCGTTTCATCAAGCCCTCCTCTAGAAATGGTTGCTTGATGCATTAGCAACAGATCAAATCTTAGGTGTACAGGACTCATTGATTACTGATATTTTGTAAGATTAATAAACCAGAAAGAATTACTAAATACCTAATGTATGCAAGGCACTAAGCTAGGTATTGGCAGTAAATATCAAGCTTGACAAGGTTCTAGTTGGTCTAGGCAAAGGAAGGACAGGAGATAGACATAAATACATTCTTGGCTTTTCTGTTCTACTGACAGAATTCTAGTTGTGTACACACACACACACACACACTTTTTTGAGGTTTCTGGTAAGTAGTACTTTTCATAACCTGAAGAGCTGTGCACAGGCTCTCCTACTTGATGAACCATCAGCTTTGATGCAGCATTGTTAGATTGACTTTTTGCACTATTGTATTTTGTTTTGTTTTGTTTTTTTTGGGTCCGGTCGTGGAGCTTGACTTTTGGGCTTGGCGCTATCCCTCAGCTCTTCAGCTCAAGGCTAGCGCTCTACCACTTGAGCCACAGCGCCACTTCCGGCTTTTTCTTTTTGCTTATGTGGTGCTGAGGAATCAAACCCAGGGCCTCAGGCATGCAAGACAAGCACTCTACCACTGAGCCACCTTCCCAGCCCTCCACTATTGTAATATTTGTATTCTTGGACAAATTTTGGTTGCCTCTACTTTGGTGATACAGCAAATTTATATTGAAAAACAGTCCTTTCCTGCCTTTTTTTAAATATATACTTTTTATTGTAAAGATAGTGTACAGAGGGGTTACAGTTACACAAGGAAGGTAATGAGTACATTTCCTATCAAGCACTGTTACCCCTCCTTTGTTTTTCCCCTACCATCCCTTTCCTCACCACCTCCCCAGCTCCACCCTCCCTCCCACCAAGTTGTAAAGTTGGTTTTCAACATAGCGTCTTGTACATCTCATTGTTACAGTCTTCCCTACCTTTTATGAGACAGTGTTACTCAGTCTGGCCTTTAACTTGAGGTCCTCGTGCCTTAGCCTCCTGAATACTGAGATTACAAGCATGCATCTCCACACCGAGCAATTAGTCACCTTTCTTGAGGATGTGAGGTAGGCAAAACTAACTGGCATTGTCATCCAGTAGGAGTCATTGTCTACCATTGTAT